CTAAAAAAGAGGTGTATACTTTTCTTCATTGCACAAAGCCATACAACTACATGGAACACTGCATGTAAAATGAAAACAAAAATTCACAATATGTATGCTTACAGATTAAAGAAAAGGTACAGTAATGATGGCCTTGATGAGTTGTTGCAAAGAAATGCATTTAATAATCACTAAATAATATGCAATAATAAAATGTTATGATAATTATATTATCATATACAAAGCAACAAGTGGCAACAGCTGACTAAATCACAGGTAATAATAAAGGTTTACTTTGGCACCAACATGTTATGTAAACTTGGCACTGAAAACATGGAAGTCAAGTACCTCTTGTACTCCTCATTAACAAAAACAATTTCAAAAACAGTCCATACATTATAAACTGTTAAAAAAAGGTTACTTAGTACTTAGTATAGTTCCAACTATGGCATTTAGTGCTGCCATCTTCTCTTTATGTCTGCGCTCAACATTATCATCCCTGTCTGACATAATATTTTTTATGACATCAGCAGTACGTCGAGGAGCTGGGTCTGATGGTGGTGACACTGCTTTTCTTTTTTCTGCAAAAATTATAAGTAATGCCCACCATATGTGAGAACCTCCTGGTGCATTATTACATCTAAGTCTGACATTACAGAGATGCAAGAAGATTACAATGAAGGAAAAAATATAAGGTGAACAACTGGAGCTGAAAAGATTTATACATTCCTAAATTCTTATTTTACACACAGACTTTGAGATTCACAAAAACAAATCCCTTAGAATTCCTCTTAACTTTCCTCTCCCATCAGTAAATACAAATGTTGAAATATATTTTTTTTTCAACACTGGCAAAAATACTTTTTTTAGTCAAAGTGTAGAAATGACCAAGATAGAAAACAAAAACAGGTCATTAATGAAAAATTAATAGTATGTCAACTGTCAAAAAATCAGGTAGTAGTTAAAAACGTGCAGTCAAGAGTCTGTCAGAGTGATCCCCCCATGCCATGTAATATTCTGTCCAATTCTGTGGGCAGAATATAAAAGCTAGATCTCTTATAATAGTGTCAGAAAAAAAGGCCCAGCATCCATAATTAACATCATTAGTCATATTTAAACTATATTAATTTTACAACATTGAGCAATTGCGAAACAAGTTTTCAACATATATAAATCACTCTTGTTGGCCTGGATGGAAGCACGAGAGGGGTCTTACTGTGGGAGGAAACCAGAGCACCTGGGGAAACCAGCTTTTCCCAGGAATTCCCCTATCTCTCTCTTCGAGAACAGTTTTACATAGCCATCAGACCTACATGATTTTCTGTCCACACAACAAGGATGAATTCTCCCAAACCATCTACAGTATATAACAGGAAGACATTATGACTTTCATTCTATCACAGTTAGTTAAGTGACTGACATCATTATGCTATAACATTGTGACAGCCACAGTAATGCTGGTGCTTTTTTTTTTAAATCTACAATATATAAATACGAAAGAAAGAAAGTGACAAAGCAAATAGAAAATGAATCAGTGGACTTTGAAAGATATTTCGTATTTTATCACCATGACGAACACAATTATACAACAGACAAGGTATGTCATTGATGTTATAGTGTCTGATGTTTTTGGTTTAACTGGTGTTCCTTCATATGTCTGTACGATTATTTCGTGAAGTGTTCATTTTTGTTATATTAAATTTAAGATTATTAAGGGTAATTGTGTAATTGTGCATACTCAGCATTTGTTACCGATAATGAGTTTGTAGCTTTCCGTCACATGTTCCAAAACTAGGAAAGTCAATTAGTCTGTCTACAACTTCCTAATCAAAACATTTGCTTATAACCGGAGTAGAAGCAATACGAAATCACGTGAAAAAACATGTATCCTTAGTAATTGTTCCTATCTGTCTAATGGACATCCCCTATATACCCTTAGTAATTGTTCCTATCTGTCTAATGGACATCCCCTATATATCCTTAGTAATTGTTCCTATCTGTCTAATGGACATCCCCTATATATCCATAGTTGTTGTTCCTATCTGTCTAATGGACATCCCCTATATATCCTTAGTTGTTGTTCCTATCTGTCTAATGGACATCCCCTATATATCCTTAGTTGTTGTTCCTATCTGTCTAATGGACATCCCCTATATATCCTTAGTTATTGTTCCTATCCGTCTAATGGACATCCCCTATATATCCTTAGTTGTTGTTCCTATCTGTCTAATGGACATCCCCTATATATCCTTAGTTGTTGTTCCTATCTGTCTAATGGACATCCCCTATATATCCTTAGTTGTTGTTCCTATCTGTCTAATGGACATCCCCTATATATCCTTAGTAATTGTTCCTATCTGTCTAATGGACATCCCCTATATATCCTTAGTAATTGTTCCTATCTGTCTAATGGACATCCCCTATATATCCTTAGTTATTGTTCCTATCCGCCTAATGGACATCCCCTATATATCCTTAGTTATTGTTCCTATCCGCCTAATGGACATCCCCTATATATCCATAGTTATTGTTCACATCTGTCTTATGGACATCCCCTATATATCCTTAGTAATTGTTCCTATCCGCCTAATGGACATCCCCTATATATCCTTAGTTATTGTTCCTATCCGTCTAATGGACATCCCTTATATATCCTTAGTTATTGTTCCTATCCGCCTAATGGACATCCCCTATATATCCTTAGTTATTGTTCCTATCCATCTAATGGACATCCCCTATATATCCTTAGTTATTGTTTCTATCCGTCTAACGGACATCCCCTATATATCCATAGTTATTTTTCCTATCCCTCTAATGGACATCCCCTATATATCCTTAGTTATTGTTCCTGTCCGCCTAATGGACATCCTCTATTTATCCTGAGCAATTGTTCCTCACCGCCTAATGGACATCCCCTATATATCCTCAGTTATTGTCTCTATCCGCCTAATCGACATCCCCTATATATCCTTAGTTATTGTTCCTATCTGTCTAATGGACATCCCCTATATATCCTTAGTTATTGTTCCTATCCATCTAATGGACATCCCCTATATATCCTTTGTAATTGTTCCTATCTGTCTAATGGACATCTCTCTCATTGGTTTTTTGGTCATTAACATTGATTCTATTTTTGATGATTAATGAATACCAGGTGAGTGATACAGGCCCACTTGGCCTGTTGTATAGCTTAAGTTTATTGGTTTAGTATATATTTTTTTAAAATCCTATTAACAGCCTTGATCATTTAAGGATGTGCAAGTTTTGGAGGGCAAAGGAAAGCCGGAGTTCCCAATACAGTATAGGTGTACACTGACAGGCACATAGCATAAATTTAATATGAAATATGAAACCTTCTTAATATCATAATGTATTTCACTCAGTACCTCACAATGTACTCTTTCACCTCAGTATTTCAGAGTAGTTGTACCTTGCATGGTCTGATACACATACATGTACAAAATTGCATAAATAACAACAAACATTGTTTTGTCATTTTTTTTTATTTTTTCATTTGAAAACATTGTTAAGATGAATTTGATGCTGTTCTTGTATCATTTTTGATGTGACATCAAAAGGCACAACAAAAGAATTAAAGTCTTTCAAAAAAATTCCCCAGGAAAGATTTTAAGATGACAGACTGATGTTGACAGCATTTCTTAAGAGTTGCCCATCGCCTGTACATTAATGAAAGTAAACCACACAGACCAGTATGTATAAGGCACATAGGTAAACACTTATCACACTCTGAGTGACAGATATTGATTACACAATAATGTAAATACAAAGACAATAAGACAATTACTAAAGCTGGTTTTCTTTCTTGACACAATTACACAATTTCTGATGAGATAATGTGCATTCTGATCTGATACATAATTTAAATTGTCAGGGTTAGGAACAACCAAGCAGATATCAGTGCTAAGAAATTCCACTGAAAGGCATTTTTATCCAATAAATAAAAAGTGTAAAGTGTGGCTTAACACACCAGAAAATTGAAAATAATTCAAACAATTACTTCGGCAAATAAAGACAGAGCATATTGGTACCATAGCTATTGCATAGACAATTGTAAAGGGACTAAATGGTTAGATTTCATTATTTTCTTCCATGCGTGTGATTTCAGGCAAGCGTTATACTTAAAATTCAACTATTCATAAAATTTAAGCACTTGTTGAGAAAAATTGATAAATATTTTCTGCTTCAAACTTAACACTGGTCCACACTCGGTATTGTGTCTATCGCTATTGGCTGTTTTGATAGCAAAGTTCATCATATGACCTTTCAGAACCTAGTTTTAACCTGCGCTTTGTTATGATTTCTAAGTTTTCCCACTATGCAGATGTGCAAACACCTTGTTTACACTTTCTGAACAATGATATAAATGTTCTGTCACTCCTATTACATTTCAATTTTTTGACATTTTTAATAAAATGGTTATGCAAACTTTTAATTATAACTAACAAAAAATGCAGAACTTTTAACAGATATTTAAATGTTGTTAAAATGCTTTTTATCATTTATAAAATAAAAATCTTACCATTTTGTCCCTTTAACCTATTATGAAACCCATCCAAGATGTCATTGGTATAGAGCAACACGCAGGTATAGCATATTTTGTGAAAATCTGATGATAGAAATCCGAGACACCTGATTGAGACTATCTATTTCAAGGATTTTAAAGTCCTGAAACTCTGGCAAATATTGATGGATTTTGACAAATATCACGTTTATGCAAAATCTCATCTATATAAAGCAATATACTAAATTGGTTCAAATTTCAAAGTAAAATTTATGGTGTTATATGAAAACAAAGATCCATTTGCAGGATTTGAAAGTTCCGCAAATGTTGACAGATTTTAAGCAATATCAAACTAATTTAAGATCTTATTGATATATAGCAATATGATACCATCTTTTCTTAAAATCTGATGAAAAGAAAGCCTGAAACAGGTAAACAGACAGGCAGACCAAATCCAATCTGACAACCCCTTAACCCCCACCCTCTACCCATACCCCAATCTTCAATCTCACTGACATAAAAAGTGTTCATGTAGGACACAAGGGAACTCAGTACAATAGTTATTGGTCATTCTGACCACTTAGATCTGATTACTAACAACTCTGTCACATTCATATAATTTAGAAAATACTGTATATATCTAGGAGATGAAGAAGTAGAAAGTTCTTTACACCAATGCTTACATAAAATTTATAGAAAAAAGTAATTTCACCCTCAAAAGATTCAACAAGCTCTGCCTCTGGAAATATATTTTGCAGGAAAAATTAAAATCAGCGAAAACACTATTTTTACCAAGAAATAAAACAGATTATCACAGACTTGCTTTGTAAAATGTTACCTCTACATCATATATGTATAAAAAAGGGTAAGGAGTCAATCACAACAAACTCAAGCGTCATCAGTTTAGTAGCTGGTTTGACTTTATTGTTGATTAGTTTTGCCTCCGGTCGAGGCTTCATCAGGCCAAACTAGTCGACAATAAAGTCTAACCAGCTACTAAACCGGTGACACTTGAGTTTGTTGCTATCAACTCCTTACCCTTTATTATGTAGATATTCCGTCAGTCACCCTGCATACCCCTAGGTATCCAACCTCAAGTGAAGTACCACACTGAACCACACACTTACCTAGATAGCGACGTTGGCTCTATAAGACCCGTTTAATTTATATATAAAAATACAAAGCATGATGTCGAAGCAATCAATGTAATGGCTTGAAGATGTCCGCAAGACCTGAAAATTTGGAACATCGTTTCCAGTGTTATTGTTTAATGTCTTTGTATTTTTATATATTTGATATGAAATATTAACAGGAAAAACATTTGTTAATGATCAATGACATAATAACAACAGTGCGGATGAGTTAATTGTCAAATTTTTCAAGACAATCTTCCCCCTTTATCACGACACAAAATCAAGTCACAAAATATTATATAAACAACATGGGTATATTATATACCACAGTAAAGTCATTAGTGAGATTATTCTCATTAAACTTGTTGTTACTTTTAATCAACAAAGTCTACAAGATGGTGAACAGATAAACGTTGACATGGAAAGTAGTACAGGTAGATTTCGTGAGTAAGATTTATCCATGAAATTAAGTGCCAACAAAAATATACATTTTTGTAAAACAAAGAAATATGAGCCAAACGAATATCTATGATTTTATAATACCTGGTTAATTTATCCAGAAAACTGATCACTATGGTTAAAAGTAAACCTGCATCACAAGCATACAAATTGTAAAGTTAAATACATTGTACAAGTCATAAACATTGTACTAGGTAAACAATTACACACTCAAAGTATAGATCACATTTTACACAATATGTTTGTAATTGCAAGTACACCTAAAACCATTGGTGAGCAAACATACATACAACTTGACAAGATTAAAAAAAAAAATTTTTTATACGTTTTTTGGTCACATTTCAAAGGCAAATCAATATCCACAGGACATGTGACACCAGTCCTGCCAGTCTGATTATGCAAGGATCATAATTCTTCTTGATATTTAGAAAATTTACTTAAACAATATAATAAGAAAACTTCATATCCTCTGAGAGAAGAGTTTACAAAGTTGCTGAATCGAGGTAAAAATGGGAAGAGATGTTTTGATAGAACCAAATGTTGCAAAAAAAAAGACAATTATCATTTTAATTTAATTGTCAAATAAAGAAAATACCACTAATTAGACAACACCTGTTAGCAAGTCAAACAGCTTTTTTTTCTGTGTCCAGCAACCATCTGGTTATGAATATACATCGGTACTCTTGTGTCTGTTGATCCTAGTAGGCAATATCCATATATGGAAATACACATGACATTATTCTTTGTAATTTACATTACTGTAAAGCTGCATGTGGAGAATTTGTTACTAAAGAATTAATCAAGATCATCATCCTGGTCATTGTGATTAATATTTTCTCCTTGTGATAATACAGGACACTGGGCCATCATACCTACAGGGTTTGGCCTGAAAGCACTCTGAAATAGATGGAACTGTTGCTTATGAGCTAACACTGAGCCAAACAAATATGTTGTCTGTCCTTCTCTAACTCTAGTCTGTAATTCTGCCTGACTTTCTTCGTTGTGTACCAGATGTTCTCTAACATGTGTTGAGGTTTCAGTGTCCACTCTTTTTCCCAGTGTCTCACTGGCAACTAGACTCTCCAAATCCGTAGTTAGAGATGAACCAAGTATAGCTTCAACATCTGCTTGCCATGTTTGGTCATTTGAATAGCCTGATATGTCATCTGCTAAAAAATTAATGAAAGATGAAAACTGGGTGCAGTTATATATAATACAAAGATGTTTAGCTAATATTGACTCCTTTAAACACCATTGACTTAATCAAACTTCATGTTGTTAAGTTGAATGAATCCCCCCTCCTTCCCCATCCCCCAACCCCCCCAAGAAACTGAAGAGAAAACGACAATAAAACAAAGCAAAGTTTTATTTAAACATGAAAATACCAAAACGTCAACAAAATTATAATCTAAACTCAAATTCATTAAAACCAGGGGAGAATAAAACAAAACTAAAATTTAGACAGAGATTCCTGAAAAAGTACAAGGAAAACACGACCAAGTATTCTGAAAGAGCAAGCATCTTCTGCTTCATTAATGACACCCACAGTGAAAATCTTGGTCAATCCAAGTAAATAATGTCACATTCTCAAATGAGAACAAGGTATACAACAACGGAACCAACAGTTAAAATAACGAGCATCACACACATCCAGCTTCATATCAAACAAAGAAATAGAATAATCAGTGGGAGTATTTTGTTTTAGGAACAAGCAATGTTTGCGCTTACCTTTAGTTGTAGATATTGGAATGTTCAATTCCTCTATATCTTTCAAATTGGTTTCCTTTCTTTCCTCCAATTTGCTTTTTGAGCCACCACCTTAAAGGTATACACAATAATGTGTGAACTATCTACATGTTATACAGTATAATTACTCGATGGCAATTATATTGATGCAAACACATCTTCACAAAATCAAGCAAATACTTTGCAAAATTGTCATAATTTCTTTCAAGCTTTAAGGACCTTTGTACCCCTCCCAACCCCCTCTCCTTTGGCTTCGCCCCCAGCCCAAAGCAATGATGCTAGTTGCTAGAGTTGAATATAAAGAGGTGCATCATTAAAAACAGAAATTGGAATGTTTTCAAAGAATAAAGTCAAGCTAATGTGTTGATAAAAACATATTAGTTGCCTTGAGGTGGTGAATTCCTAGTCATGAAATCATTTTATTTTTGTCTCCAGTATCTTCCCTAATATATGAGTAGTGTTTTTTTTCACTGTAATATCTGCCCTAAGTTACAAGTAGTGTTTTGTTTTCACTGTAATATCTGCCCTAAGTTACAAGTAGTGTATTGTTTTCAATGTAATATCTACATTAAGTTAAAGTTACAAGTAGTGTTTTGTTTTCACTTTAATATCTGCCCTAAGTTACACGTAGTGTTTTGTTTTCACTGTAATATCTGCCCTAAGTTACAAGTAGTGTTTTGTTTTCACTGTAATATCTGCCCAAAGTTAAAAGTAGTGTTTTGTTTTCACTGTAATATCTACCTTAAGTTAAAGTTACAAGTAGTGTTTTGTTTTCACTGTAATATCTGCCCTAAGTTACAAGTAGTGTTTTGTTTTCACTGTAATATCTGTCCTAAGTTACAAGTAGTGTTTTGTTTTCACTGTAATATCTGTCCTAAGTTACAAGTAGTGTTTTGTTTTCACTGTAATATCTGCCCTAAGTTACAAGTAGTGTTTTGTTTTCACTGTAATATCTGTCCTAAGTTACAAGTAGTGTTTTGTTTTCACTGTAATATCTGTCCTAAGTTACAAGTAGTGTTTTGTTTTCACTGTAATATCTGCCCTAAGTTACAAGTAGTGTTTTGTTTTCACTGTAATATCTGTCCTAATATACCAGATATGTTTACAAGTAGTGTTTATTTTAGGGAAAATTTTGATTTATTGGTTCCAATCTACAACCAATGTGCAAATGGTCTCATGATGTAAAATTGAAGAGTTACAATTTGTATATAATCTCACCTGTTGCTCCCTGTGTGGAAACAGGACAGCTGTCCTTAAGAGGGCTATGTTCGTCTGTGGACACTGAAGAGCTGTGTTCAAAAGAGTTATCTTCATCACTACTGCTGAAATCATTCGTAGTCTCCATTTTCGCTGTCGGCTGAACAGAATTGTTCTTGTCATCATTCTGATCATCCGTTCTCCATTCCTTGTTTTGTTTTGCAGGCTTTATTGAAAAAAGGTAGAAACAGAATCGTTATGGATTAGTTACATTTTATAACTTAATCCCTGAATTTGAACAATTCAGAAGTCAAGTAACAATATCCTTGTCTGAAGGTGTCAAAACACACAACAGATCTTCTACATTTTACAACAATTTTCTAAGAACTAAGCTGCAAGATTACTCTGTATCATTTCATATCTTATACCAAGGATAGATAGATTTCAAAACAAACGGCCCAATGGGCCTGCATGGTTCACCTGGTATTCAATCAAAAGTAGAATTAATGTTTATCACAAATACATAACATTTATTCCAATGGCATTCAAAGTGAGCACATCATTCATTCTACCCAATATCCACAATTTCCATGGATTTACTAGAAGAAGTCTGTTACAAGTTTTGTAAGTCTTCATCCAAGAAACCTATCAGATTGAATTTGGGTCAAGGACGTTTTTTCCTAAAACTTTGTTGGGCTTTATCCTAGGAAACTTTGAGCCAAATACCATGCTTCTTTGCCTTTTGGTTAATTAGAACTAGAACACTGACTGGTCAGCAAGTGTCCCGCTATGTGATTGGAAATACCTCACCCCGCACCCCACCTATAGGCACACATCCCAGACTGACAGATTACTGGCAACATCTTAAGTACACTCTGCCACAAAAGTCAAGAAAGCCTGTTACAAAAAAACAGCATATCAACAAATACCTTCAACAATCTGATTTTTAAATTTATAATAACAGTGACCTTAGAACTTGTGATATAAAAAGCAATATCCCAAGCAAACACTTTTCGTAAGGAAGCATTGTATTAAGTTTGATTTAGGTTGTGAAAAGCAAACTCAAGGTCTCACACAGAAACTGATTTTAACTTATAGTTACAGTGACCTTTGACCCTGAATGGCAATCTTTCTCAAACAAGCACTTTTGGTAAAGAAGCATTGCATCAAGTTTGAGTTAGATTGGTTACAGTAAACTGTTATTCCAAAAAATGGATTTTCCATTATAGCAACAATAATCTCAGACTTCTGGGTCTGAAAATTAATCCCTCACAAGCACTTTCAGTAAGAAAGCACTGTATGAAGTTTGAGTTTGATTGGTGAAAGGGAACTCAAGTTATATCATGGAAACCAATTTTCTTCTTAGAATGACAGTAATTTGGGCCCTTGACCCTGGGGCATGAAAAGCAATCCAAAGCAAGCCATTTTTAAAATGTAAGGAAGCATTGTATGAGGTTTGAATTTGATTGGCCAAAGCAAACTTGAGTTATCAGAGGGAAACTGGTTTTTTCTATTTATAGTAACAGTAACCTTGACCACAGACCTTCAAAACTGTAAAGCAATCCCAAGTAAACAATATCAGTAAGAAAGTACTGTATGAAGTTAGGGTCAGACAGGTCAAAGCAAACTCTAGTTTTCACATGGAAACAGAATTACAGAAACAGTGAACTTAACCTTTAAGCTTGGGTGATGAAAGGCTACAAATCCTAACCAAGCACTTCCTTCACGGAGGCTTTGCATAAAGCATGAGTGCCACTGGCCAACAGAATTTGAGATTCTGTACAGAAACCAAAACAATTGGACAGACAGACAGACAAGCTGATTACTATGGACACTCACATCTAGATGCTGAGCCCTTATAAACCATTCATATGTTTTAACAAATTAAATTTTTTTTTTTAAAACTTTTGTTTGGTTTTATCCTCAGAACCTAATAGCCATATAACATGCTTCTGAACCTTTTTGTTCATCAGAAAAGCTCTGTAAAGGTTATAACAAATTTGGCCCAAGTGATCTTGAATATGGGTTGAAGGCATTGTTTTTGTTAACTTTGTTGGGCTTCATGCTTGGAAACTATCAGCCAAATACCATGCTTCTGGGCCTTTGGTCACTCAGGTGAAACTGTTTTAAGGTTTTAACAAATCTGACCCCTGTGACCGTGAATAATCAACCAGGTCATTTCTTTTCACAAACTTTATCAGGCTTCATCTCAGCCATCTACCAACCTAATATCATGACATTTGGTTCGTTGGTAAGTGAGAAGAAGTTGCTTAAATAGAAAAGTTAATGCTGGATGGACAGACGGAAGAAAGACAAAAGAGAGACGGATGACAGATGGATGACAGATGTTGCAACAGGTGAGCTAAAAAATAGTAAAACTAACAATAAAATATGGATCATACCGCTAATCCATTTTCTGATTTGTGGAAAAGGTGTGCTGCTTCTTAATTACTTGACTGATGACCTTGAAGAGAATAACTGTGATGTGTGGAATAAGATGGTACCATACTGGTCAAGTATCACATGTTTAGAGTAGTGCAAGGTATTAATTATTTGGAAGGGGAAACAGCTACTTCATTTCCCATGTACTGGTCCAGAACAGGAAAATTGGTAGGTACAACATTGTGAAGGGGAGATAACTACTTCAATTGGTTGTGGAGATGAATTCTCTCAAGGGCACTGATAGGTACCATATTGTGAAAGGCAAACTGATTTAAATAAAGATCATCATTATACACTATGTTATGAAGATCTGATGGTGGCCTGTAAGGGGTCATGTTCAGATCAACCAATCAAAACAAGACTTGCAAAACCTGCCATAGCCTGTTTCTTTTTGGCTCTTATGGTTAGTCTTTGTTAAAAGGATAATAACTCAGTGTCCTGAATGTCAACAACACTAAGATAGCTACACCCATTGCAAACTGCCTTGCACAAAAAGAGGTGTATTTACTGCATAATGTATGTAATATCTGTGGATTGTCATAACTATCCCTGAAGAAAATACAGTGACACTTCAAGTATTTGCAACAATGCTTCTTTTGCCTATACCATTACATCATGTTTTTCATCCAATTTGCACATGCTGCTAAACATGCACATGAGAGATGAGTTTTGATTGGTTGAAAAACTTCCACTGCATTTTAAGCACTAGGGTCATCTGAAAATAGCCTCTTACCAGCTAGAAGGGGAGATAACTACTTCAATGCCTCTGTACTGGTTGTGAATATATACTTTCTCAACAGCACTGGTAGGAACAAGTTTGTGAAGGGGAGGTAACTACTTCAATGACCTTATAGTGAATGCAGAGATACGTTCTCTCAACAGCACTGGTTTAGTACCAGATTGTGAGGGGAGATAACTTCTTTAATGGTAATGTATTAGTTGAGAAGATGTACTCTCTCGGGAGCGGTGGTAGGTACTAGGTTATAAAGGGGGAGACCAGTTATTGAAATTTGGAAATATCTTCTTGGAGGGGAAGATAACTCCATAGATGCCCATTTACTACTAACTAGTGAAAGGGGAATTTCAAAATGATGGCATTGGAATAGAAGACAATTCATTAAGTACCCATGATCTTGTGAAAGAAGACGTCAAGACAACCAAATTTCAGAAATTCAGCAAAAGCAGAAGCCTCGGTCTCTAACTATTCTCTTACTGTGATCAGTACATGGATTTGTCTTTTCTCTTACTGTGATCAGTACATGAGTTTGTCTTTTCTCTCACTGTGATCAGTACATGGATTTGTCTTTTCTCTCACTGTGATCAGTACATGGATTTGTCTTTTCTCTTACTGTGATCAGTACATGGATTTGTCTTTTCTCTCACTGTGATCAGTACATGGATTTGTCTTTTCTCTTACTGTGATCAGTACATGGATTTGTCTTTTCTCTTACTGTGATCAGTACATGGATTTGTCTTTTCCCTTACTGTGATCAGTACATGGATTTGTCTTTTCTCTTACTGTGATCAGTACATGGATTTGTCTTTTCTCTTACTGTGATCAGTACATGGATTTGTCTTTTCTCTCACTGTGATCAGTACATGGATTTGTCTTTTCTCTTACTGTGATCAGTACATGGATTTGTCTTTTCTCTTACTGTGATCAGTACATGGATTTGTCTTTTCTCTTACTGTGATCAGTACATGGATTTGTCTTTTCTCTTACTGTGATCAGTACATGGATTTGTCTTTTCTCTCAGTACATGATTTGATCAGTACATGGATTTGTCTTTTCTCTTACTGTGATCAGTACATGGATTTGTCTTTTCTCTTATTGTGATCAGTACATGGATTTGTCTTTTCTCTTACTGTGATCAGTACATGAGATTTGTCTTTTCTCTCACTGTGATCAGTACAGGGATGTGTCTGTTCTCTTACTGTGATCAGTACATGTTTTTGTCTTTTCTCTTACTGTGATCAGTACATGAATTTGTCTTTTCTCTTACTGTGATCAGTACATGGATTTGTCTTTTCTCTCACTGTGATCAGTACATGGATTTGTCTTTTCTCTCACTGTGATCAGTACATGATTTGTCTTTTCTCTTATTGTGATCATGAATTTGTCTTTTCTCTCACTGTACATAATTTGTCTTTTCTCTACTGTGATCAGTACATGGATTTGTCTTTTCTCTTACTGTGATCAGTACATGATTTGTACTGTGATCAGTACATGGATTTGTCTTTTCTCTCACTGTGATCAGTACATGGATTTGATTTGTCTTTTCTCTCTCACTGTGATACTGTGATCAGTACATGGATTTGTCTTTTCTCTCACTGTGATCAGTACATGAGTTTGTCTTTTCTCTCACTGTGATCAGTACATGGATTTGTCTTTTCTCTTACTGTGATCAGTACATGAGTTTGTCTTTTCTCTTACTGTGATCAGTACATGGATTTGTCTTTTCTCTTACTGTGATCAGTACATGAGTTTGTCTTTTCTCTCACTGTGATCAGTACATGAATTTGTCTTTTCTCTCACTGTGATCAGTACATGGATTTGTCTTTTCTCTTACTGTGATCAGTACATGGATTTGTCTTTTCTCTTACTGTGATCAGTACATGAGTTTGTCTTTTCTCTTACTGTGATCAGTACATGGATTTGTCTTTTCTCTTACTGTGATCAGTACATGGATTTGTCTTTTCTCTCACTGTGATCAGTGCATGAGTTTGTCTTTTCTCTTACTGTGATCAGTACATGGATTTGTCTTTTCTCTCACTGTGATCAGTACATGGATTTGTCTTTTCTCTCACTGTGATCAGTACATGGATTTGTCTTTTCTCTCACTGTGATCAGTACATGGATTTGTCTTTTCTCTTACTGTGATCAGTACATGAATTTGTCTTTTCTCTTACTGTGATCAGTACATGGATTTGTCTTTTCTCTTATTGTGATCAGTACATGGATTTGTCTTTTCTCTCACTGTGATCAGTACATGGATTTGTCTTTTCTCTTACTGTGATCAGTACATGGATTTGTCTTTTCTCTTACTGTGATCAGTACATGGATTTGTCTTTTCTCTTACTGTGATCAGTACATGAGTTTGTCTTTTCTCTCACTGTGATCAGTACATGGATTTGTCTTTTCTCTTACTGTGATCAGTACATGGATTTGTCTTTTCTCTTACTGTGATCAGTACATGGATTTGTCTTTTCTTTTCTCTTACTGTGATCAGTACATGGATTTGTCTTTTCTCTCACTGTGATCAGTACATGGATTTGTCTTTTCTCTTACTGTGATCAGTACATGAGTTTGTCTTTTCTCTTACTGTGATCAGTACATGAATTTGTCTTTTCTCTTACTGTGATCAGTACATGAGTTTGTCTTTTCTCTTACTGTGATCAGTACATGAATTTGTCTTTTCTCTTACTGTGATCAGTACATGAATTTGTCTTTTCTCTCACTGTGATCAGTACATGGATTTGTCTTTTCTCTTACTGTGATCAGTACATGAATTTGTCTTTTCTCTTACTGTGATCAGTACATGGATTTGTCTTTTCTCTTACTGTGATCAGTACATGGATTTGTCTTTTCTCTTACTGTGATCAGTACATGAATTTGTCTTTTCTCTTACTGTGATCAGTACATGAGTTTGTCTTTTCTCTCACTGTGATCAGTACATGAGTTTGTCTTTTCTCTTACTGTGATCAGTACATGAGTTTGTCTTTTCTCTTACTGTGATCAGTACATGAGTTTGTCTTTTCTCTCACTGTGATCAGTACATGAGTTTGTCTTTTCTCTCACTGTGATCAGTACATGAGTTTGTCTTTTCTCTTACTGTGATCAGTACATGAGTTTGTCTTTTCTCTTACTGTGATCAGTACATGAGTTTGTCTTTTCTCTCACTGTGATCAGTACATGAGTTTGTCTTTTCTCTCACTGTGATCAGTACATGAATTTGTCTTTTCTCTTACTGTGATCAGTACATGAGTTTGTCTTTTCTCTCACTGTGATCAGTACATGAATTTGTCTTTTCTCTCACTGTGATCAGTACATGAGTTTGTCTTTTCTCTCACTGTGATCAGTACATGAGTTTGTCTTTTCTCTCACTGTGATCAGTACATGAGTTTGTCTTTTCTCTCACTGTGATCAGTACATGAATTTGTCTTTTCTCTTACTGTGATCAGTACATGAGTTTGTCTTTTCTCTCACTGTGATCAGTACATGAATTTGTCTTTTCTCTTACTGTGATCAGTACATGAGTTTGTCTTTTCTCTTACTGTGATCAGTACATGAGTTTGTCTTTTCTCTCACTGTGATCAGTGCATGGGTTTGTCTTTTCTCTCACTGTGATCAGTGCATGAGCTTGTCTTTTCTCTTATTGTGATCAGTACATGAGTTTGTCTTTTCTCTCACTGTGATCAGTACATGAGTTTGTCTTTTCTCTTACTGTGATCAGTACATGGATTTGTCTTTTCTCTCACTGTGATCAGTACATCTTACTGTGATCAGTACATGGATTTGTCTTTTCTCTTACTGTGATCAGTACATGAGTTTGTCTTTTCTCTTACTGTGATCAGTACATGGATTTGTCTTTTCTCTTACTGTGATCAGTACATGAGTTTGTCTTTTCTCTTACTGTGATCAGTACATGAGTTTGTCTTTTCTCTTACTGTGATCAGTACATGAGTTTGTCTTTTCTCTTACTGTGATCAGTACATGGATTTGTCTTTTCTCTTACTGTGATCAGTACATGAGTTTGTCTTTTCTCTTACTGTGATCAGTACATGAGTTTGTCTTTTCTCTTACTGTGATCAGTACATGAGTTTGTCTTTTCTCTCACTGTGATCAGTGCATGAGTTTGTCTTTTCTCTTATTGTGATCAGTACATGAGTTTGTCTTTTCTCTTACTGTGATCAGTACATGGATTTGTCTTTTCTCTCACTGTGATCAGTGCATGAATTTGTCTTTTCTCTCACTGTGATCAGTGCATGAGTTTGTCTTTTCTCTCACTGTGATCAGTACATGGATTTGTCTTTTCTCTTACTGTGTTCAATACATGAGTTTGTCTTTTCTCTCACTGTGATCAGTACATGGATTTGTCTTTTCTCTTACTGTGATCAGTACATGGATTTGTCTTTTCTCTTACTGTGATCAGTACATGGATTTGTCTTTTCTCTTACTGTGATCAGTACATGGATTTGTTTTTTCTCTTACTGTGATCAGTACATGAATTTGTCTTTTGTGATCCAGAGCTCGAGTTGATATAAACACAGGAAAATGATAGCGCTGGAAAAGATGAGATTTTCCTACCTCTGGAAAGTTTAGAGTATTTAGTTGATGAGGAGGAGATGACAATGTTTCTTCACTGGATGTAGAAATACTTCTTGAAGATTCTGACCCAGAATATGATTCTTTTTCATTTGTTTCTTGTGGTGTTGTGGGATCATCAGGCTCATTTGATCTAGAAAAGAAGAATATTAAAACTAAATAGGACACATAAAATTTTCTGTCACTAAATATTATGTATCATAATTATATAACATAGCATCATAAGGTGGAAAATAGTGTGACAGACTGTCAAACATCTATCACCAAGTGTTAAACAAAGTGAAGTTGTATCGACTGAAATACAATATATTGTGACCATCTTATGTGCTTTTTTCTATATTCCTTTTTACCATTTCTTTACACTGTTTTCTAGCTTAGAGTACATAGGATAAGAGTACAGCTGGAAAAGTTGGTTAATTACTTTCTATCTTGTACACTTTGTATGTCAGTGGCAGTATGTGCCATACTGGTCATTCTTCTGATGAAGGTAACTGTGTAGTCATCAAAACGTCACACTGACATCTTCTATTAGTTGTGTTATAAGATGAAGGTGGCTGTGTAGTCGTCAAAACGTCACACTGACATCTTCTATTAGTTGTGTTATAAGATGAAGGTGACCGTGTAGTCATCAAAACGTCACACTGACATCTTCTATTAGTTGTGTTATAAGATGAAGGTGACCGTGTAGTCATCAAAACGTCACACTGACATCTTCTATTAGTTGTGTTATAAGATGAAGGTGACTGTGTAGTCATCAAAACGTCACACTGACATCTTCTATTAGTTGTGTTATAAGATGAAGGTGACTGTGTAGTCATCATCACACTCTAATCTTCTACTGGTTGTGTTATAAGATGAAGGTGACTGTGTAGTCATCATCACACTCTAATCTTCTACTGGTTGTGTTATAAGATGGAGGTGACTGTGTAGTCATCATCACACTCTAATCTTCTACTGGTTGTGTTATAAGATGGAGGTGACTGTGTAGTCATCATCACACTCTAATCTTCTACTGGTTGTGTTATAAGATGGAGGTGACTGTGTAGTCATCATCACACTCTAATCTTCTACTGGTTGTGTTATAAGATGGAGGTGGCTGTGTAGTCATCATCACACTCTAATCTTCTACTGGTTGTGTTATAAGATGAAGGTGACTGTGTAGTCATCATCACACTGACATCTTCTACTTGTTGTGTTATAAGATGAAGGTGACTGCGTAGTCATCATCACACTCTAATCTTCTACTGGTTGTGTTATAAGATGGAGGTGACTGTGTAGTCATCATCACACTCTAATCTTCTACTGGTTGTGTTATAAGATGGAGGTGACTGTGTAGTCATCATCACACTCTAATCTTCTACTGGTTGTGTTATAAGATGGAGGTGACTGTGTAGTCATCATCACACTCTAATCTTCTACTGGTTGTGTTATAAGAACTTTGATTCTCCTGCACATTATGTTATTATGCTTTTCTTAAAAAAAAAAAATGAAATCCAATGTCTGTGTGGGCAGTTCAGTTAATTTCTGGTAATCTTCCTATTGTATTGTAGTATTGTTTGCTAGCTATGTGAAGAAAATCATTGGTTTGATAGACATGTGCAGTGTCCATTAAGTACAATATAGAAATATAAAACTAAGTAAGCAGAAATTCAATACAAATAATAAAGACAGCAGTTCAGTATCTAGTCTAGTTCCACCATATGTATTCATATTATGACGTCATCCAAAGATCACATGATTGTATTCTTGACGTCACCCAAAGATCACATGATTGTATTCTTGACGTCACCCAAAGATCACATGATTGTGTTCTTGACGTCACCCAAAGATCACATGATTGTTTTCTTGACGTCACCCAAAGATCACATGATTGTATTCTTGACGTCACCCAAAGATCACATGATTGTATTCTTGACGTCACCCAAAGATCACATGATTGTATTCTTGACGTCACCCAAAGATCACATGATTGTATTCTTGACGTCACCCAAAGATCAAATGATTGTATTCTTGACGTCACCCAAAGATCACATGATTGTATTCTGTGTACTATTCATGACATGAACGTTTAACAACATGTGTAGTTGCTAGACAGATGTACTCTGTAAGTCCTGTATTTTGAATCGTTCACTGTTGTGAGGATGGATACCTAGTATTCTGAAACATGTCAACATTAAAGCCTGGTGAAGAACTTTCTTGGACATTGTCTGGTCATCTATACTTATAATTATCTCATAAATTCATAAGTGTATATATGTATGTCTTTTTGTAATCTATTTGTGGTTGTGCAGGAGACAAATCTCTGAAATTCTAGCTCGAAATAAATAGCATGATATATTTACAAATATGTATCAATCTTTCTTAGGTTTGCTGACCTGGTTGTGTCCTTAAGCAAGACACTTTACCTTGCTCTAGAAAGTATGGGACAAGCCTCCCGTCAGTGTTGTGCAGTGAGATATCCATCAGCTATGACAAGGAGACCTCACATTAAAATTATCCTGGGAGTTAACGAGAGTAATGAAGCAAGCAAAAAAACAATTTCATTGTCAAAAAAAACAGAAAACAAATATTTGAAATACATTACTTACTTTAAATGATCCTTTGATATCACTGCAGTTTCTGTCATGATGGCATGAGAGTGTTTTCCAATCATTACAGTGTTAGCACCATACACATTGATGGTTGATGGTTTCTCGGGCTTAGAAGGCTGTGCTGGAGGTTGTGGATCAGACTTCTGATAGAGGTGATGGTGGACAATATTCAAAACAGGCATTTTGTCACTGTTTAAACCTAAAAAATTTGATTTAAACCAATATACACAAGTACTCAAAGAGAAAATACACATGTACTTACGGAGTCACAACTGACCAATAAACACATGTACTTACAGAGACACTGACCAAAATACACATGTACTTACAGAAAAACTGACCAAGATACACATGTACTTACAGACAACCAACTGACCAATATACACATGTACTTACAGACACACAACTGACCAATATACACATGTACTTACAGAGACACGGACCAATATACACATGTACTTACAGAGACACTGACCAAAATACACATGTACTTACAGCACACTGACCAAGATACACATGTACTTACAGACAACCAACTGACCAATATACGAATGTACTTACAGACACACAACTGACCAATATACACATGTACTCACAGAGACACATGAAACCAATATACACATGTACTTACAGACACACAACTGACCAATATACACATGTACTTACAGACACAACTGACCAATATACACATGTACTTACAGAGAAGCAACTGACCAATATACACAAGTACTCACAGACACACAACTGACCAATATACAAATGTACTTACAGACACACAACTGACCAATATACAAATGTACTTATAGACACACAACTGACCAATATACACATGTACTTACAGAGACACAGACCAATATACACATGTACTTACAGAGACACTGACCAAAATACACATGTACTTACAGAAACACTGACCAAGATACACATGTACTTACAGAGACACAACTGACCAATATACACAAGTACTTACAGACACACAACTGACCAATATACAAATGTACTTACAGAGACATAACTGACCAATATACACATGTACTTACAGAGACATAACTGACCAATATACACATGTACTCATTGAGACACAACTGACCAATATACACATGTACTCACTGAGACACAACTGACCAATACACACATGTACTTACAGAGACATAACTGACCAATATACACATGTACTTACACAGACACTGACCAATATACACATGTACTTACAGAGACACAACTGACCAATACACACATGTACTTACAGAGACATAACTGACCAATATACACATGTACTCATTGAGACACAACTGACCAATACACACATGTACTTACAGAGACATAACTGACCAATATACACATGTACTTACAGACACACAACTGACCAATATACACATGTACTTACAGACACACAACTGACCAATACACACAAGTACTCACAGAGACACAACTGACCAATATACACATGTACTCATTGAGACATAACTGACCAATACACACATGTACTTACAGAGACATAACTGACCAATATACACATGTACTTACAGACACACAACTGACCAATATACACATGTACTTACAGAGACACAACTGACCAATATACACATGTACTTACTGACACACAACTGACCAATATACACATGTACTTACAGACACACAACTGACCAATATACACAAGTACTTACAGACACACAACTGACCAATATACACAAGTACTTACAGACACACAACTGACCAATATACAAATGTACTTACAGAGACATAACTGACCAATATACACATGTACTTACAGAGACATAACTGACCAATACACACATGTACTTACAGAGACATAACTGACCAATATACACATGTACTCATTGAGACATAACTGACCAATATACACATGTACTTACAGAGACATAACTGACCAATACACACATGTACTTACAGAGACATAACTGACCAATATACACATGTACTTACAGACACACAACTGACCAATATACACATGTACTCATTGAGACACAACTGACCGATATACACATGTACTCACTGAGACACAACTGACCAATACACACATGTACTCACTGAGACACAACTGACCAATACACACATGTACTTACAGAGACATAACTGACCAATACACACATGTACTTACAGAGACATAACTGACCAATATACACATGTACTCATTGAGACACAACTGACCGATATACACATGTACTCACTGAGACACAACTGACCAATATACACATGTACTCACTGAGACACAACTGACCAATACACACATGTACTTACAGAGACACAACTGACCAATACACACATGTACTTACAGAGACATAACTGACCAATATACACATGTACTCATTGAGACACAACTGACCAATACACACATGTACTTACAGAGACATAACTGACCAATATACACATGTACTTACAGACACACAACTGACCAATATACACATGTACTTACAGACACACAACTGACCAATACACACAAGTACTCACAGAGACACAACTGACCAATATACAAATGTACTTACAGAGACATAACTGACCAATATACACATGTACTTACAGACACACAACTGACCAATATACACATGTACTCACAGAGACACAGACCAATATACACATGTACTTACAGAGACATAACTGACCAATATACACAAGTACTCACAGACACACAACTGACCAATATACACATGTACTCATTGAGACATAACTGACCAATACACACATGTACTTACAGAGACATAACTGACCAATATACACATGTACTTACAGAGACACAACTGACCAATATACACATGTACTTACTGACACACAACTGACCAATATACACATGTACTTACAGAGACACAACTGACCAATATACACATGTACTTACTGACACACAACTGACCAATATACACATGTACTTACAGACACACAACTGACCAATATACACAAGTACTTACAGACACACAACTGACCAATACACACAAGTACTCACAGAGACACAACTGACCAATATACAAATGTACTTACAGAGACATAACTGACCAATACACAAATGTACTTATAAACACACAACTGACCAATATATACATGTACTTACAGAGACACAGACCAATATACACATGTACTTACAGAAACACTGACCAAGATACACATGTACTTACAGACAACCAACTGACCAATATACACATGTACTTACAGACACACAACTGACCAATATACACATGTACTCACAGAGACACATGAAACCAATATACACATGTACTTACAGACACACAACTGACCAATATACACATGTACTTACAGACACACAACTGACCAATATACACAAGTACTTACAGAGACACAACTGACCAATATACACAAGTACTTACAGACACACAACTGACCAATATACAAATGTACTTACAGAGACATAACTGACCAATATACACATGTACTTACAGAGACATAACTGACTAATATACACATGTACTTACAGACACACAACTGACCAATATACACATGTACTTACACAGACACTGACCAATATACACATGTACTCATTGAGACACAACTGACCAATACACACATGTACTTACAGAGACATAACTGACCAATATACACATGTACTCATTGAGACACAACTGACCAATACACACATGTACTTACAGAGACATAACTGACCAATATACACATGTACTTACAGACACACAACTGACCAATATACACATGTACTTACAGACACACAACTGACCAATACACACAAGTACTCACAGAGACACAACTGACCAATACACACATGTACTTACAGAGACACAACTGACCAATATACACATGTACTTACTGACACACAACTGACCAATATACACATGTACTTACAGACACACAACTGACCAATATACACAAGTACTTACAGACACACAACTGACCAATACACACAAGTACTCACAGAGATACAACTGACCAATATACAAATGTACTTACAGAGACATAACTGACCAATACACAAATGTACTTATAAACACACAACTGACCAATATATACATGTACTTACAGAGACACAGACCAATATACACATGTACTTACAGAAACACTGACCAAGATACACATGTACTTACAGACAACCAACTGACCAATATACACATGTACTTACAGACACACAACTGACCAATATACACATGTACTCACAGAGACACATGAAACCAATATACACATGTACTTACAGACACACAACTGACCAATATACACAAGTACTTACAGAGACACAACTGACCAATATACACAAGTACTTACAGACACACAACTGACCAATATACACATGTACTCACAGAGACACATGAAACCAATATACACATGTACTTACAGACACACAACTGACCAATATACACATGTACTTACAGACACACAACTGACCAATATACACATGTACTTACAGAGACACAACTGACCAATATACACAAGTACTTACAGACACACAACTGACCAATATACAAATGTACTTACAGAGACATAACTGACCAATATACACATGTACTTACAGAGACATAACTGACTAATATACACATGTACTTACAGACACACAACTGACCAATATACACATGTACTTACACAGACACTGACCAATATACACATGTACTCATTGAGACACAACTGACCAATACACACATGTACTTACAGAGACATAACTGACCAATATACACATGTACTTACAGACACACAACTGACCAATATACACATGTACTTACAGACACACAACTGACCAATACACACAAGTACTCACAGAGACACAACTGACCAATATACACATGTACTCATTGAGACATAACTGACCAATACACACATGTACTTACAGAGACATAACTGACCAATATACACATGTACTTACAGAGACATAACTGACCAATATACACATGTATTTACAGACACACAACTGACCAATATACACATGTACTTACAGAGACACAACTGACCAATATACACATGTACTTACTGACACACAACTGACCAATATACACATGTACTTACAGACACACAACTGACCAATATACACAAGTACTTACAGACACACAACTGACCAATACACACAAGTACTCACAGAGATACAACTGACCAATATACAAATGTACTTACAGACACACAACTGACCAATATACACATGTACTTACAGAGACACAACTGACCAATATACACATGTACTTACTGACACACAACTGACCAATATACACATGTACTTACAGACACACAACTGACCAATATACACAAGTACTTACAGACACACAACTGACCAATACACACAAGTACTCACAGAGATACAACTGACCAATATACAAATGTACTTACAGAGACATAACTGACCAATACACAAATGTACTTATAAACACACAACTGACCAATATATACATGTACTTACAGAGACACAGACCAATATACACATGTACTTACAGAAACACTGACCAAGATACACATGTACCTACAGACAACCAACTGACCAATATACGAATGTACTTACAGACACACAACTGACCAATATACACATGTACTCACAGAGACACATGAAACCAATATACACATGTACTTACAGACACACAACTGACCAATATACACAAGTACTTACAGAGACACAACTGACCAATATACACAAGTACTTACAGACACACAACTGACCAATATACAAATGTACTTACAGAGACATAACTGACCAATATACACATGTACTTACAGAGACATAACTGACCAAGATACACATGTACTTACAGACACACAACTGACCAATATACACATGTACTTACACAGACATAACTGACCAATATACACATGTACTCATTGAGACACAACTGACCAATACACACATGTACTTACAGAGACATAACTGACCAATATACACATGTACTTACAGACACACAACTGACCAATATACACATGTACTTACAGAGACATAACTGACCAATATACACATGTACTCATTGAGACACAACTGACCAATACACACATGTACTTACAGAGACATAACTGACCAATATACACATGTACTTACAGACACACAACTGACCAATATACACATGTACTTACAGACACACAACTGACCAATACACACAAGTACTCACAGAGACACAACTGACCAATATACACATGTACTCATTGAGACATAACTGACCAATACACACATGTACTCACAGAGACATAACTGACCAATATACACATGTACTTACAGAGACACAACTGACCAATACACACATGTACTTACAGAGACATAACTGACCAATATACACATGTACTCATTGAGACACAACTGACCAATACACACATGTACTTACAGAGACACAACTGACCAATATACACATGTACTTACAGAGACACAACTGACCAATACACACATGTACTTACAGAGACACAACTGACCAATATACACATGTACTTACAGAGACACAACTGACCAATACACACATGTACTTACAGACACACAACTGACAAGAAGTAGATTGGGGTAAGCAACAAAATCATTATCAATGAATTAAAATTAACTGGAATTTTACTCAAACGTTGTGGGGACATTGATATGGGACGGATGGGGGAAGGAAGGCAGGGGCTTTACTTACAAACCTCTCCTCACATATCGCCTTGGGGGGGATGTGGAGGTCAACATCAATCAAAATAGTACAGTTTTTAGAATTTTGTACATGATGTGCTGTGGATACTAGGCATATACAGAGTCCTTACTAAAGTGGTGAAATAGGGGCCCAGGATCCTCCAAAAATAAACCTTGATTTGGACCAGAAATGAGTGTTGTCATCCTGGGCTACTATCTTCCCATATAGGTTTGTATATAAAGTATCACTCAGTGTGACTAATGTATAGTTCTGTTATGCAAGATAAATGCAAGAGAAATATTTAATCTGTATTTTGATTTTTGTAATGTCACTTATGGTCAAATGAAATTTTGTACTGGTAGTTATGGTAAAAGGTCAAGCTGAAGCCACAGTTACCAAATTTTAGTATTTTACACATTGTTTCTCAATGTCCTGCATGCATAAACAGTGTAATATCCATGCCATCGTGATTTGCTGAAATATGCCCTAAGAAATCTATATCTTGAGCTCATCTGGTCCAATGGCTGGTGAATGTATCTTGTCAATTACACTACATCCATTGTTCATTCATCTAAATTTCACTTCTAGTCAAGAGTGTCCAAACAGGTTTTAACCAAAGTTGCTTGATAAAAAGTGATCTCAAGAGCAGGGGTCATGTGATGAAGAGCATTGTTTAAATAAGCCAAAATGACTGGACAAGCCAACCAAAATTTCTCTGCATTAAAGTATATTTACAAGTTGTCCTTCTACAACGTACAATTGATATCATGTAACATTTTAATCAATACTGTGTCGAGGAAAGCGTCTTGCAAATGCTTGTGTTTTGGAGCATGATAGATTTTGGGGGTGAATCTGACATGGTTTGAGGAGGAATTTCCCAGTATTTAAAGACACCTTTTGTGACCATTAAGAGGAACTTCTACCCTATGGAAATGAGATGCTAAGGTCTCATGCTGTGTCTTCCATTTTAAGACCTTTCAGCATGATAATGTTAGGCCACACATTGAAAGATTTTTAAGGACTTTATTGCAATCTAGAACATCTTGTCTATTGATTGGCTTCCACATAACCCTGATTTGTCCCAAATCGACCACTTCTATGGTTTTTTAGACAGAAGAGTTCGGAATCGAGTGAACATCCAAAACAACCTCTGCCAATTGACCAATGTACTTTCCAAGGAAAGGAATAAGATTCGTCTACTGACTGTCAATGTTCTTATGAACTCCATGCCATGCAGAATTAGAGACACTATAGCTGTTTGGGGAGGGTACACATTATTCGGGATCTGACAACTGCTATTATTTCAACTTTGTGTACATCATGGTACCATAATTCATGGCAGCCTAATGAAGTCCTCGTTTGTTAAAATTTCAGAAAATTGGAAGACGGATTGCCAAATATTTGAAGTTGCGATTCACATTTTATGTATGTTGCTCATAAATTTTGTTTCATTAAACCATAAAGTTAAGTTGCATTACTTTTTCCTCTTAGTAGATATATTAATCTGGGAGTCGAGAAGGCTGCTGAAGAGAGGTGATGGGAATGTGTTGATGGCCTGGGGGTCAGGTGAGAAGTATAGTGCATTATACTCTGTTACAGTATATGTTGAGCGTTGTACATCACTAATGTGTACTTACCTGTAAGGAATGGGTACAGGCCTTGAAAGTAGCCTGGAGGGGGTTCTTCAGGTACATGTGCTGTTGAATTAGACTTTCCAACTGAATGCTCTCCCGCTAAGCCTTCTGCACAGGGTATACCTGCCATTACTCCTCTTGCAAAAGGATCAGGCACTCCACTGTGGGTTAAAATATTTTCTATTACCTTGCTCCCTCTGTCTGTGGTATCCATCATCATTTCATTTTTTATGAAAGTTTCTCCCTCCACTTTTCCTACATCTATACTAAGCATGCTCTCCTTTGAATGGTCTAAATTTGAACTCCTCAATGCTGCATCACCTGAGTCATTAACTAAACCTGTGTTGTCAAGACTAGTCTCTGCTGAGTCATTTTCTGACTTGGATTCTTCGGACTCACTTAATTTTGAGGATATTATCTTCCCGTCTTCACTCTTGTCCATAGCAGATTTGACCCGGTCTGTCTCTAAACTGTCATCATGAATGGTATTCTCATTGGATGAAGCAGCTGTAGCACCATCAGCTGTTGTTTGGCAAGAAGAAAAAACATCAATTGCCACACTTTTTCATTTCAACATATTACTTCATGATAAATAAAATAATTATGTATACTGATACACTTGTCCCTGGTGACGATCTAAAGAAAATGTAAATATCTGAATTACCTGTTATATGCTATTCTGATAACTTTCAACACTAACTTAAATACCTGGAATCTCTTCACTGATGACAACGGTATTCACTTCTTCTGTCTCCTTCTTCCATACTTCACTTGGATGTGGCTATAAAAATTACATACATGTAAAAAGTGAAACAAAATAACTTAATAATCAGAAAAAAGTATGCACACAAAATAAGACAACTCATACAAATTATCTTTTTCAAATTTCAAATAACAAAATTTTAATGTTGAAAATTAAAAATGCATAACCAGCATGTTAAAACCAATATGAAGGGGGAGCAATGATTTAGGATATAAATTGCCCCCTCCCCTCCCCCTTTGTCAACAGTATCCCACCCCCACTCCCCAACACACACGCACACACCATATTGTCTTTAACATAGTGATAATAGTTTGAAAATATACAAACACAAGCATTTACATTACAACCTCATGTATACTCCATTTTTTGAAGAATTTTAAAATTAGTGTTCTAAATTTTATAAATTCTCAGGAAGATTAACAGTTGAATGACATATCAATTTTAGTCAAACATGACACTGAAGTATATCACATACACTCAACTTTACTGTCCAGAGAAAAGGGATCAAATTTGAAGCCTTAATTACTCTGTTGATGAAATAAAGAAATGTTTTACACGACAATATCCACATATTTTGACCATATCATAATCAACTCACCACATCAGACTGGATGCCATTTGTCTGATTTGCAGGAACATCAGAACTGGTGGAGGGCCTGGTAAAATGGTCAGTAGAGGGCCCTGTGATACGGTCAGTGGAGGCTCCAGTGATATGGTCAGAGGAAGACCCAGCGATACGGTCAGTGGGGGGCCCAGTGGTACGGTCAGTGGATGGCCCAGTGGTACGGTAAGTGGATGGCCCAGAGGTACGGTCAGGGGAGGGCCCAGTGATACGGTCAGTGGAGGGCCCAGTGATACAGTCATTGGAGGGCCCAGTGGAGAGGATTGCTTCATTATTTAATTGATTTTCAACAGGATTATCAGAAGCCGAGTTTGAAATTACCCTGGCAGCAGAACCTTGATTCTGATTCCTGTTCTTATGCACTGTAGTAGCATGTGCTTGTTTTCTAGAAGAATTGTTCGGACAATCATTAATATCTCGATTTTGACTCCTTTTCATATGACCAACAACATTCTTTTGTAATTTTCTCTCCTTTATAGCTGCCTTGATGACACCAGTTGCTACATATTCTTTAAAACGAGGATTCTCTGTTAAATCATAAAACTGGATTGAGCGAATTGACCTAAGTCCTGTAAATCCAATCTTTTCAGCTTTTGTTTGAACAGGGATAATAGCATTTCCCCTTTGACGTAGAATACAATCAAAAAGATATTCTACAATTTTCTGATTACTGGTTAAACCAGATATTTTGGCAATGTGATTTCTGGCTTCATCTTTATCCATAAACTTTGTCAGTTCGATCAGTTCTTCCACCAGATGTTTCAGCTTTTCATTCTTCATTAAATTATCAGTGATAAAAACCAATATCTTCATACATTTTGCTGACACTTCCTCTGTTTGTCTGTGGACATTAACTTGTGGGAAAATATCATAATCATCATACAAATGTATTGTTGGATCTGAAAGAATATCTTCAGCTTCCCTTGCCAAGTCTGTGAGCCATGGAACAAATTTAGTTTTCACAAGATCAAAATCCTCATTGGAATATATGACAACCACGTCAACAAGGTTTGGTATTTGATCCTGAAACTCATATGCTTGAGAGTGTGTTGTTGGCCCCGAGTCCATAACAGCATCATACTCCAACTCATCATTATGTCTACCTCTTGTTTGCCCGTTTTTAGATATGTTGCTCCTTTGAAATGGTGACATAGGATTTTCCAATGTGCCCCTTGGAATGTGATTCTTGTCTTGATTCGTATTGGTCCTTGGTCCTTTATCATCGGGCTGCTTGCTCGCCATGCTTTAAAAAACTGTGTGTAAAAAAAAGAAGTGAAAAAGACGTACATTCCAAACAAAAAATTTACTTTATTGTAAATGTACTATATTGCTTTTTCACTGAGTGTTGTGTTGACAGATAAATATCCTCAACTGACAAATGGTGGAGCAGTTTATGTGAAAGTGCAAAATTTACAAAGGATCATAATCCGGACATCTTTGTAGTCATAAAAGGGATGATATGTAATTATGTCCAGTTTCAAACTTCTGATTGTGCCCACACATGTTAAAACAAATCTTTATTTCACACATATAAAGTTAAACACATTCATCATTTAGCAGAGATCTGTAACAAGAGCCTGAATATGTCTGTTAAGTCTGTTACATTTCAGGGTAAAACTTTTCATTTTCGTTTTTTAAATTTTCATTTAAAACAAGATATTATTAAATTTCACAATTTTTATCAAATAAAAGGACATCTGATTTTCGTAACTATTGCTTCTGTTGTCAATTTTCAAATATCTTATTACTGTATGCATATAGTGTACAAATTACAGCACAGCTAACATCCTCAATACTCCAGGGTTAATGCTCACTATTGCTCTCTGAATCCCTGGAACATTACATGGCAAAACTGAAGGTTCTCGGTGCACAACTTGTATATAATACAAGAACACTAGTTTGATCATTCGATGTACATCATAGGAAGATTGAGGTTGCATAACGATACATTGTATTGGCTTTGAAGTTGGATGTTGCTACTTTGTTACCTTAAAAGGAGTGTATCAGTTTGTGATTGGTCAGTTTTTTCTTCAAATTACTTTGATTGTGCCTTCAATTTTGCTGTGAAATGCTCCAGTGGTGCAGAGAGCAAAATGATAATGACTCTTGGAATATTCAGGATGAACAGCTAGATGCATACCAAGGAGGTATAATGCAGAATTATGTCCAAACTGTTTACAATTTTTTTTTTGAAATGATCAAAGCAAAACATTCATGAATCATTGCACTTGAAAGTCCCCAGTTTACTTGTTCAATGGCCAATTCAGCTAGAGACAGTATCATCAGTATCGCAATAGTCTTCTATTACAAATTAATTACATTATGGATAATGTTTCAATTTTCATTACTTTGAGGATCAATTTTTTTGCCATCACATGGATATTCAACAAAACAGAGAAAATATTGCACTTCCTCTTGATGATGAGATATCTATGTGTCTGGCTTCATTTTAAAGGCAAAAAAGAAAATTCTAATCACATGATATATAAGGTAAACTATCTGTTCATTTCTGTTGAGTTAGGGTATAAGAGGAAGTGTTACCAAAATATCATCCAAGCAAAAATAACTGGTTATACAAATCATTGTCACTTTTAACATTACATTGTACATCATGTATGTAGACCAGAATATCAGAATAAAGATATAATTTTAATCATGGCACTAATAACAAGCATTCCTTTCCACTGGTTGCTTTATCAACATATAATTGATCAAACAGGTTTTGTATTAATATATCTCTATTTATAGAAAAATGTAGGGGCACCTTTTCTTATCAGGGATTAATCTAGATAAATTTTACTACCAGAAAGGTGTTGTACTATTTCCCCTAGTAGTATGTTTTCTCCTCTGAATGTAAACTAATTCCTCAAAAAGAAATTATATTGAAAACATGGGGAAATTTCCCCAATTAGAGAAACTTTCTCCAAAACAGAGCTAATAACTATATTTTTACTTAGCATGTTTTCAAATCATACTATCAAGAAATAGAAATATCATTATAACCTCTACATTGGCATATTTTATTCATAAACATTTTGAATTTACATGTATGTCATATATTTTAACCTTATCCCTCTGTTATGACCAAAAGGGTTGTCAAACATTGTTCCATGGCTCAAATATACCCCAAACTTCTCTTTCTTTCATATTTGGTAGTGTTCCCCAAATTCTACACTAATCCATGCTAATACGTCCTACCAAGATATATGTTCCACCGTGGGTGGGGGATCCTTCTACATGTATGAATTGACCTATACATAAGGCTCATCTATTCGAAACAATACAGTATTAAGAGCTGATAAATTTTACTTTCGTTTTAAACAATTGAAAATGTTTCCAACCTTTGAACTTGTTACAGTTTCATGGGATCTGGAACCGTTCAGGCATAGCCTTCCTTATGTTGGGTTAGTTATCCATATTACAATCCCTGGACGTGACTTCTGTCTTCGAACTGGATACAAGTTGTAATAGTTTAACCAATACCGATACTCTTCTCTTCAACCTCCAAGCAGACAATTCTTAAAATAGCAACAACAAAATCCCCACTTCCAACTTCCGGGACTTCCTAAATCCATATTCTGGCGTAAACTGACATGAGCAAGGGCCTTAAACTCTGTTTGACAAACAACATCAAATGATTACCGAAATAAAGTGTAAAGTAAAATAGAGCTATTTCATCAATATTTCAAAGATTATGGTACAGAAGACTTTGACTGGTATGGTTACGGTGACGAAATAGCATTATCAGGTTCATATTACGTTGTTTGATAGAACTTTTGTGCGACGTGACTGACTTGAAAATTCAAATTTGATCAGTACGAATTTTGAAGTCCTTCAACGTTCCTGTGTCTAGCATGTTGAAAATAAAATTAAACGGTAATTGTAATTTGTTTACTTAATAAACGCCAACCATGATAATGTTTTTTTGAAATGTAAGCATGTACCTGTCCCTTTCATCCACGACCCAAGGCTCCATTCAGGACATCCATTAATAATACTATCTGATAACAACATTTCTATGACTCGGAAAACAAGTATGCACAAAAGTGTTATTTTCCTGCATAAACTTTAGGTAGCAGTAAACAGTTAATTTTCATTTTTCCTGAAATTATTTGTCATGTTTGAGATATACTGGTATAGCAGATTGGTTATGGAAAATACATCATTACATGTATATATATTTATAAACTATATAACAATAACATTAACAGTAGAGAGATGAAATTTGTGTAAAAATTTCCTCTGATTTCTGACATTTGATTGTCATGGTTACCTACTGAAAAAATGCTAAAAATGCAAAAATACTGCTAATTCCAACCCAACACTACAACTTTCTAGGAGAAATTTAATTCTAAACACCTATCTTACAATCAACAACACTGTCATGGTAACAAAGTACTTACATTTCAGCAAATTCCAACTCGGAAATTCTTCATAACATGACCACATGTGAACACTATGAAAATTTCACTTCCTGTAAAGCTAGTTTTTGGTGCGTAGACACAGATTCGAGACTGCCCAAATAGTAATCTCCAACACAAAGCTAAAATATTATCCTGAAAAAAATGAAACCCCACATTGTCCACTTTAACATGACAGGACCAATTTTAGCAAGGATTTTTTTTTTCATTTTTAATTAAAACCTTTATAATGGGGTAACCTAATGAACAAAAAAAATCACACAGAGAAACTGCGTACTGCTACCTTATTTATTTAATAATAGTTTGACGAAAATAAACAATGCAACAGGTATTTATTACATGACAATGATAGTTTTGTGCACTGTAGACATATTTGGTGGAGGTGTTACCATGTGGCTGTCGGAATTTTCATCGAATGTTTTCAGGAAGTTTTGGGGTAGTTTGTGAGTGTTTTGGGGAGTGTTTTTGGGTAAATAGTTCTGCCGATTGAAAGTATACGACAATAATTGTTATGCGCTCACGGTTTGATAATATCAATGAATGATCAGCATATAGTACAATTGATATAGAGGTTCTACAACGAGTGGCAGTTGATTGTCATCGTTATCTTACTCAAGTTAGTTAATTTTGAAATTTAAAGCCTCGTGTCTTTTCTAAATTTCAGGCTGAAAAATAACTACACCGTGTAATTAATATACATATACATCATGACTGCCTTGTCTGACTTTTGACCAGGTTGACAAATAACTACACTCTGTTGGCTTCCTTTCCTTAATACTGTCATCGATTTTCAACTTTAAGGTAAACCTACTGATATCATTGGAAAAGTTTATGTTTTCCAATATGGTGACCATCTGGGATTTTGAACTAATCAGCTCCAAAAATAACATTTTATTGTAACTTCCTCTAGATCATTCTTGGTAAATTTGAGTTGTTAATGTAACTTGAAAAGAATAACAAGATATGAAAGTTGAGAAAGATTCGTCCAGTTCTTCTCAAGAACTAGTGATAACAAACTTTCATGATCAATATCCAAGATGGCCACCTATTAACAATTTTATTTTTCTTATCAGTCCCAAAATTAAACGACAATAATTCAGGATAAACAGGAGCCTACATATGGATTTTGAGAATGATATGTCCAGTACTTCTCACAAAATAGTAATAGCATACTTTCACCGTTGATCTCCAAGATGGTCACCTGTCGGCCATGTTGCTTTTCTGAATAGTCCTACTATCACAGAGGACACAAGTAGGGACCAAGGGAAGCATACATATGAAATATGAGAAAGACTCATGCATTTCTTCTCACGAAATAGTGATAACAATTTTTTTTTATAGACGGATGTCCAATGGACCATAGATGTGGGACGATTTGGCCATCATTAAATGGTGCGTTAAAAAATAAGAACAGCGAAAAAAAGGTCATTTTTAAAGATTTTACTTTGTAAATTAGAGACAATATAATGTCTGCCGTAATAAATAAACAATTTATCGTCTGTCATAACAAACTCTTGATGTACACAAAAATGTTTCTTCAGAATACATGTATATTTTATTATATAACAGATTATCACAGACATGTTTGTATACTTGTAATGACATGTTTAACAAAATATTCACACACACATATATATATACATAACTGATGCCTATAATTGTTAGTTTCTAATATTTTTCAACAACATATATCAAGGAAACCAAAATAATCTAGTAAAAAGCAAATTCAGTATAAGGAAATTTTAAAACTTCAGTAAAAAATTGCACACTCTGATTACATTAATCAAAATATCTTCATCTCGTGCAATTAACAGGCTGTCAACCAAGTCTTCCTAAAAATATAGGCGAAATAAAGGAATAGGTATTTTTTCAACAAATATAGGAGTTTTTCGCTAGTTTGAAGGCAAAATAGGAGTTTTCCAAATGAAAATCGTTTCCTTCAGAGGCATGTATACTAACAATTCTTACATTCACTTACTGTTAAAAAAACTACCTTAAAGTAACCATTCACTTCAACAGCATCACAATCCAGACAGAGAGCTGCTACATCAAACATCATCATCATCATCATCATCTGAATGGGCACCTAAAAGGCCAATATCCTGTTGTACTGCCTTGTAAGGTGCCCATACAGGTGATGAAGAGATGCACTGAATCATTTTCTGGTGGCTGGTGATGCTTAAGAGTTCTCTAACTTGTAAGATAAAAAGGCAGTATCAAAGAAATATTTACAATATCTACATTTATCGGCGACAAATTTCCCACAAAATATAGGAATATGTTTCAAAAAATAGGAAAATGTAGGAAATATATGAGGTCTTTCAAATGAAAGGAAAATATTAGAATATAGGAATCTGTTGACAGCCTGAATTAATGCACAACTGGTAATCAAACATTTACACTTTTCTGCCAATACCTATGTTTTTATACACTAGTATTAGTGGTATAACACCAAGAGATGTTCACAATGGATGCTTACGTTTCACCATTTACCAACAGATATTGTGGGAGACTGGAGATAAGTCACAGCATGTCGACCACAATAAGTTTTTTTCCACGAAAATGGAAAAATTCTCTAGTTAAACAACTTCAAAAAGACAAAAGAATTGAGCATTGGATATATCAAAATCTACTCAGTTGTTTGTTATAAGGCACATCATACATTTCTCCAAACACTTTGTGGCTGGTTGGCTTGTTCCACAATCAGTGCAATTTCCCTTGTGAAGAATGGTTGTATAGAATTATTTTTCTGACTTAATCACCAGGTACTATTATTCATATCAAGCGGACACTTTTGTGATCAGCATACCGTTTGTACAGTTGTACACAGTGTTAGATTTGTAGAAACCGATTATCATATGAATATAAAACAATAGTTAAGAAAACAAAAGGATGAGAAGTATTTGATTGTATCACTATTAGATAAATAGATGCTGTGTTAATTAATCAGTTTAAGTATCAGTGATTAACCCAACTTAGAGATCAATGATGGGAAACACTGGTAAAATCATAACTACCCATCCTGATTCTCCATAGCAATGTTTGATTAACAGTATACCTAGTAAATCACTGTCCTCATAATGACATTATTCTTGGTAATTGAAACTACTGTAAAGCTACATGTCAATAATTTTGTTATTTAAGAATTAATCAATATCATCATCCTGGTTGTAGTCTTCTATTCTTTCTATTTGTGATAATACAGGACACAAGCTCATCATACCTACAGGGTTTGTCTTCAGTGAACCTGGAACACATGTAGATGTAACTGTTGCCTTTGAAAGAAATTTGACACCAAGAAAGAAGACTTGTCAACTCTTCATCAGCATTTTCTATATCTAGCATGTTCTCTGTGTTTGAAAGGTGAAGATTTGTTTTCCTTAATGCTGCATCGCCCGAGTTGTTCACTAGAGCTGTGTTGTCTCTCCTAAACCTTTTTTCTGGCTTGGGTTCATCAGCTTGTGACAACTGATTCTGTCCATTAAGAAAGCCATATCCAGGCTCAATTAATTTTGAGGAGATTGCCAAAATGCCTTCATTGTCCATTGTAGATTCTGTCTGGTCTATTCCTATTTTCTGGTTCTTGTCTTGATGATGCTGTCTGTTTGTCTTCAAATTCATCTTGGGTCTTTGCTCCTTTACCATTTGATGGCTTGCTTTGCATTTTCTTTAAGAACTGCATGTGGTAAAAGAGAAAGGAAAGATATACCAAATGCAATACAAGTTATCAAAATATTTCAAAATTTATCGGAAATTTATTTCAAAATTAAGATATTTCACAAACTGCAAGTCAATATATTCGGAGGATATTACTTTATCAAGAGGACTGTAATGGTTACATAGTTTTGTAGTTACATGTTTTGTAGTTGTTTCAATGTTCAAGGAATTCCTGATATCACAATTTTCATGCAAGGTGTTAGCAACTGACAGACAAGCTCATAACACCAGGTTTCAAGAGATGCAGGCTGTTGAAATTACATGGGTATCAAGTT